GAAATATTAAACTGTCGGTAATTGAGTATATTGTACGAAAATATTCGTATGTTGAACGAATTTAAAAAACATATTTCTGCATTAGTACTTTATTCGAAAGTATTAACTAAATTGTACGAATACAGAGATGTAGATTTCGTAAATTTTAAAACCATACGTAAATATTACGAATACCTTCCTACAATATACAAAATTATTCGTACAGAGATTTGTTCAGTGCTTTATGAATACGTTTCGTAAAATAAACGTAAGATTTCGTAAATTGTACTGAAAAAATGCCTTACGAAAGTCCTTTCGTTATATTTACGTATGGTTCGTAAAATCTTGTTTCGTTGTGAAAAATGTGTTCGTATTATGAACGAAAGTTTCGTACATTGTACAAGAACCAAGACTACGAAAGTTTTTCGTAGCACTTTTACGAAATTTTATTTTCAGTGTAGTTAGAGCATATCACAAAGTTTAAAAGATATGGAAACAGGTGTGTTTTTGGTGAATTTTCATAGTTTGACGGGGTATGAAAATCTAAAATCATCATTTTAGGCTGGCTAGGGTCGGACAGCTGCTGAGAAAATGCTGTGTGTTATTCTCATCTTCCCAGCAAAGAATCGGCGACGATACTTATAGTCCGCATGGATTGTTTTCCGTAATCAGTCCTATCAGGGGGTAATTCTCGTCTCATGGTCTTCAATGCTTCCTTTTGGATACCCAAATCCAAGGATATAAATTCACATAGAAGCCGTGGTTTTCGAGCATTTTTCTAAGTCAGAATGCTCGAAGACCTCAATGCTTACTGAAGTCTGTCAGACTGATTAGACTAACGCTTTTTGCTAGCACATAGTCAACCTTTTTCGGTTTGAAAATGAAGACTATCTAACTTTTATCCAAAAATCGGGAATATTAAAATTATTAAAAGTCGTTTTCTTCTAGACTTTGGCATATTCGGATCAATAGCATCCGAGCCAGTCAAAAGAGGCCAAATTAACTTGTACATTTGAGCTGGCCACTGTGGTGAAGTGGTAAGCAGTGCGCTCTTCCACTTCACAGCGCCTGGGTTCAAGCCCTGATCAAAGCAACATCGCACAAAAATTTAGAAAAAAGGTTTTTTCTTAACAGCGGTCGCCCCTCGGCAGGCAATGGGAAACCTCCGAGTGTATTTCTGCCATGAATAGCAGCTTCTCATAAAAATACAATCGCCGTTCGGAGGCGGCGTAAAACTGTAGGTCCCTTCACTTTGTGTGAAAACATCAAGGCGCACGCCACAAATCGGAGGAGAAGCTCGGCCAACGACTAACATATGTGTTAGCGCTAATCTATTATTATTATTATAATTATATTCAAATTACGATTATTATATAGGGATTTGATGGCAACTTAGAAGAAGGAATAGGCCGGAGTCATAGGCGCAAGAGTTCGCACTGCCTATTCCGCCGTGTAAGTAAGAGTAAAAACGGGATTGTATGTCCAGAACTGCGGTTTCTCCTTGGACGATTTTCTGGCGTTAAGGACGGAGATTGTGTTCATTGGACAGTTATTTCTTTTCTGGATCTGTATTCGATATTTCGCATCTTCGACACTTCTTTAATGAAAGGAAGAATTCATCATATAGCCCGACTGCGATGTCTATACTAACTTCAAGTTTATCGAAACAGAGTTGATCTTAGATTCATGAACTTTAAAAATTGTAAGCCTGCTACTATGGGCTTGATAGTCTTAATCAGTAAAGCAAATGCGGACAAAACACCTCTACTTGGCAACCCTATTAGTAAGTTTCAATTGTGTGCTTTTCCTTTGGCAATCGGTAGTATTTACCATGAAATTTAAAATAGTAATTCTTGGTTTCAATAAGCGAAGTTAAAGTTTTATTTGATGTTTTTTTTTCGTGTCTTGTACTTGTACTTGGAAGCGAATTTATGCAATTATGAAGCATTTTCCGGTTTTCACAACATGCCTGTACACTTGTTTACAATTATTTGCTTTGAAGATATCAATGAGTCGTGCGTTCTTGCCGAGGGGTAAATTGTAAGTAATTTCACAAGGGGCAATGCAATGAAAAATTTTTAATTGAACTGAAGTTAAAGGAACGGACATTTGATTATTATGCTGTTAAGTAATACAACATGTAAAGTGGAGAAGCTTGGACTTTTAACAGGCGGCCTAAGTATTCGTACAATAAAACGCTCGATTAAAAGAGATTTATGCTATTTACTCAGAGAATGAATGAGACGACGCTGACATTATCCTGTGAGAAGAAATATCTCGGTATCATAGATCTTCAGTAGAAACAAGCTTGTATTTGGAAGGTCATGGCCGACATAAGAACCAGACTAAAGTACGATGCAATGGTCTGGTGGCTGAATTCCAGGAAAATTGCCCATTAAGTCGTGGTCAGCTGATAGACCCAATCTTATTCTGAATCAACT